TAACTAACTTGCTCAACTAACTTAGTATAGCTGCACCCTTCACAGCGAACTGCACACTCTCACACGGATCATCATGATCATTTGACATGAAATCAGGCTCCTCGTAAAATTATATTAAAGAAGATTAGTTTGTTGCTAGAACTATTAATTTAGTCTCCAGTAAGAAAAGCATATCTACCAGGTTTGGTTGAGTTCTGCTCACTAATGTACCAAATATTCAGTCCTAAGTTAAGCGCAGGCTAAAAGTAAAAATTTCGTTATGATCCAATTGGATCCGTGAAAATTATACTCGTATATATAAAAATTTATTGAACTCTGTTGAGCGAATTCTGAAATATATTTTTTTCCCCCAAAAGTAGAAGAAAATTAGCTGGCGTCATTGAGTTCAAGGGAGTATTTTACTTAACACCATTTGAAGAGCACCACGAGCACTGAGTTTGAGGCTTTAGAATCGAGAGTAAATCTTCATATCTTCTATAGGAGAGATTATTTTTCTCTTTCTCTCATTGCCTTTAACATTATAACATATAAAGCTCTCATATAGTCTATTGACTAGAGAGTGTTAGTTTACATTGTACGATGATGAAGCAGACACGCTTTGGCAGCGAGAGAAAGGCAGAAAGAGAAAGTGAGGCACACATGCATTATTTTTCTCTTTCATCTCTATTTAGAAATGCACAAATGATGAAATCTTGGCTATAACGTGTTTGCTCTTTGTTTGTGAAAAGTTAAAAATAATACAAAATAATATGTTTATATTATTGCGTGCCACCAAGGGTTTAATTTGGATTGTAAATATTATTGGAATAATAAATAAAACTATTTTTGTTCTCAAATATTTTTCATTCCACTTTTGCAGCTCCTCTCGTCCACTAAACTTTTTTGTCTAAATTTATCAGGTTTTTAGTTTCGACTTAACCTGATTTCATGATTCAGAAGGATATCTGCATGTGTGGGCAGGATATAAGTAAATTCATATGAATTTTCCAACTGCACTTTTTCGGCTTGAGCTTCATTCATTCATAATTTTTGCGGCAAATACAAAAATGTTGGCAAATATTTTTTCACCAAAAAAAATTGTATTTACATTTTTTCCCCTTTTACAGAGGTTTTTTGCACCCATCGTGACTTTTTCTTTGAATTTTTATTTTTACTTTTATTTTTATTTTATCACTTTTTTCACTTCGTTTATCAGCGATTTTTATGCGGTTTCATTAAATCGGCTTAGACACTTTTGCTCCTAAGCCAAATGTGCAGCTGTTGAACGAATGTGCCATTCGCATATTCCCATGTATGCATACACACACGCGCAACTATAGAACACCCATAGAAGTTAATGAAATTATTTGCAGGTTTATCCTTTCATACATCCCTTCTATACACACACACACATTTCCGCTCTTCTCTCTGCACTCGCTTTTTGTTTAACTCAGCAAAATTATGAATATTTTTCGGTTTCAAAACGCGTGGCTCATTTCTGGGCAGCTTAAAGCCACACAAAATTTGCATGTTTTGTGGAAAATTGGGAAAATACACACACACACACAAACATATACATAGAGCTAAAGTAAAGTGAGGTATCATTGCTTGCCATATTTTATGGTTGGAGAAAACGACAAATTAATTATAATGCGACCGCAGATTTTCTACTCATTTCACATGTGTGATTCTGCAATTGCGGAACAGTTAACTCGGAACTCGCATTTGGCAGCCCAGCCATGCCAAGCCAAGCCAAGCGAAGTAAAAAACCAGCAAACGCCCACAAAAACAAAGCAACAATAATAATGAATATGAATATATGTATGAAAGTGTGTGTGTGTGTGTGTGTGTGTGTGTGTGTGAATATTTACGTGTGGCTGAGTATGAGGAATGACCACAGCAGCCATACGCCACCCGCATGGTGGTCAAAAAGTAATTTAATTTGTACTAAAAGTCAGCAGGCTGGTGGCAGCGAGACAGAGAGAGAGAGAGACACATACACACACACGCAAAAACTCATTTCATGGGTCAAAAAGCACAATCTTCCAGTTTTTTCTGATTTTATTTCTTGTTTTGTTTCGTACCACTGACTTTTTCATCACTCAGTTGAGCAAGCGTGTGCTGCAATTGTCAGTCGGTTGGCGTCACACACACACACACACACACACACACACACACACACACGCACGCAAAGCAAACCGACGAGTTCTATGACATTTCCACGGCTTTGGCATCTAGTTTCAGCAAAAGACAGGTGTGCCACTTGCCGCTCCTTAACCCAAGCCACCCTACCATCGACAAGCTGGCGCTTAAATCCTATTAGTTGCGCTTCCAACTCGATTTTGGCTACTCAGTTGAAGTTTTCCTGTTTGCTTGATAGTCTTCCATTGCTCTTTTTTCTTGTTGCTCCCTCGGGTTTATTGGTAAGCACATTTATTTGGCAAATTAATACTCAAAAAGGTAAATCAAAGCCGATTTGAAAACAATAAGCGCAATGAGCAACAGTGACCATAAATGACAGTTTTACAGCGATGGCCATTTGATGTGGGGTCGCTGAGCTTATTTCGCATGGGTCTATGGAGGTGAATGTGTTAAATTGGAAATATGCTGTGTTGCAGTTTGGGAAGGGAGCAATTTGAAGAAGTTGAAAAAACTTCCACGCTAAGATCATAGAAGGGAGGAAATGTTGTCGAGTGTAGGGGACGTAGACGGCATCTTCTACATATCCTTGCAAGCAAAATTTCATACGGAGGGCTTCAATTAAGGAGTTTTTAATTGAAAATCTCAAGAAGAGTCCTCAAAGACCTCCCGAAGTTCAATATTAAGAAGTCGCACCATTTAGAAGAGGTTGATATGATGCATGAGACTCTTCCAAAGCCTTAGTTAGTGAAATTCGCGTCCCAGTGCTCGAAGGGGATCAAAATTCTTAAGATCTGATATGGTGTTTAACCTCACTTGAAACTCTTCCTCATGTACAAAAAGTTTCAGAGCCCCTTCCTCATTCCAAATATACCCCACCCAGTATAGTTTATCGTCTCTAATATTCCCATTTCTTTGATCAACAATTTTGATTTGATTCAGTTCCTGAGCTGAGCTTTTTGGGTATCTCAAGACACCACCAATTCAGTCCATTGCTCTATATATGTACCGTGCAACAAGCATCCAGTTTTCCAGGTGTTTCTAGAGTAGCAGTAACGGTGGAAATGACGGTTTACTGCCCCGGAACTTCATTTCGGGCCAGAACGTCTGCCGGTATTCAGACAGTCAGTCGACTACTCCTTCAATTGTGTTACCAGATACACTCCATACATCCTAAGCCCGGTAGTTTCAAGGTATCTCTGTTTTGACTGCTCTCTAGCCGATTGACCTAGTTGCATGTTGGCTTCAAAAATCATTCTGTATTAAACAGCTGCATGCAGGATGCGGAAAATTAATTATCCCGGTATTTCATTAACTGCCCTACTTTCGAGAGACTAAGGCTCAAGGACCTATGCTCTCTAATAACAGTAATGATCTATCGGTAATAAATTGTACTGCCTCCTTAGATTCGGGGTTGCCACAAGGCGTTTAATGAAGCTGCGCATTGTTAATTAACAATTGAAGAATGGAATCATCTGCAAGTACACTAGATGTTGTGAAACAGTGAATCCATTTCTGGATAACTCTTCTCACGAACTAGAATTTTGGAGAATTCATGCATTTGATTCCGAAAGCTAACAACTTCTCATGGTCGCAGTTAATATCGTACATATGTCAAATGACAGAAATACATATATATTTATGTTCACTTTAAATGTAGGTCACAGCTCAGCCATACGCCAACATCCACACACTGCAACAACACAAATCACAAAAAGCTCTTTCATGAGTTCAAAATTTGCGGGGTGCACAGCTGCGGGTAAATAAGAAAACTACTGACCGCGGCTTAAGGAGTCTTGCAGTTGTGATCAATGAAGCGTGCATAAAATGAAAACAAAAAGGAAAAGACTAAAAATTAAAAATTTAAAATCAAACAGCAACACAAACAAATAACACATGTTGTTGCCCACCGCCAACAAGATCATCGCTACCAGGCTGTGGTGAGCGACAATGCCAAGATTGCGCCACAGCGCCTAACTAACATATATTCCTATCACTTGTTTGCAATGTTGCAATGAGAACCTGTTGCCGGTGATGAAATTGCGCGCCAAAAGTCGCTTTGCTTGATCTAATAACTCTCAAACAGGTCAATCACTCGGTTAGTTGGTCACGCATGCGCACATCAAATGCAGCCGCTAAGCCATATTTCTTTAACTAAAATCACCAATAAAAGCTCCGGCGCTAAAGCGCGTGTGAGAGAGCTTTTGGATTTTGGCAAACGCAAGCAACGCTAATGAAGCGACGCCGGCAGGTTGGCGAGCTAGTTTACAATTGCTGTGTTTGCTCTGTTGTCATTTGTTGTTATTTTGCTTGGTTGCTTTTTTTTTTTTTTTTGATATTTTTCTGTTTTTCTTCTTGTTGTCATTTTCAACTGTGTAAATTTATCGTTTGCGAAATCCTCTTTTGCCACCGAACAGTAGCGACTCCATTGTCGTGGACTTTGTATCGAATTTGCAATCGACTATAACAACAACAATTGGTAGCTGCATTTATCAGCTGCTGCAGCATTGGTTGCAATTGAGAAAACTTGACGCATAAATGGCTTGCAAACAAAAAAACAAACAAAAAAACAAGAAAACACATTGATTTTATTAAACTTTTCCAAAATTACACTTCTGCACGGCTGTCTAAAGCATTAAAAGTTAGTCTCTTAGACAATTTTTTAGTCAGCAAACCGATCAGTTGGTGTTTAACGGCACCGCGCGACGGTATTGCGAGTTCTAAAAGCGCTGAAGTGAAGCAAAGTTCACCCGAATCACTTATTGCAAAAACATACATATAAATAAAAAAAAAGTATTTTTGTATGCAAATATAATTCAGCTTAGTGAAAGTAATAACAACAAAAAAAGAGAAGAAATTTGAAAATATTAAAAAAGTGTTTTGTATTTAATTCAAAAATAATTTCACGCAAATTTTCATTTAAAAAAATCTTGTTACTTAAAATGTCTCCAGCGTTTACTCAGCTATATATTCTCATTCTTTGCTGCAGTTATACAGTTTCTGCCGTAGACGAAGCATTTTTAACAAATCCGCGTAAGTCACCACAGACAATGTGAGGCGCAAGTCAAAAAAACTGAGCTAAAGAATTTCGTTGGGATAAAAAGTAGCAAATAATAATAGTAACACTAAGCAGGTCAATACCACTATATTAAATTTAAAGAGGATTTTAGGATGTGTGTTGTTGTTGTTCTAGCCCCAAAACCATTCACCAAGGAACTTAATGGGGAATCTTGCGCGATTAACAGTCCTTGGCTGGTTATAAATCCGGGTCGTTATGTTATACAGACCCGACTGTCGCTGGACCACTTGAAATTTAGTTGCCTCTTACGACAGACATGCCTTACAGTGGGAAAATTCTTGAATCCCTACCCTTCCCGGGCACTTTGTTGGGATGTAACATTATCATCGGTGATAAAAGCCGCTCTCTTAAAAAAATGATTCGGATTGATTAATTTTCACGGCAAGCTGAAGGATCGTTTCCTCAATAAACCAGTTACTAGGTGACCATTTTCTTCTTGCGCGAAAAAGCTACCCTCTTTAAACCATAATGTAATCGTCTTATTTTTTTGTATTTTATCAAAGCATTTCCTTTATTAGTAGTCTCGTAAAGCTCGGCTTACTCACGCATTTCAGCCTCTCTCTTTTATCTCCTTTACTCTTCGGCTTATACGATTTACGTTGCATCAGATTGCAACGCAATAATTTGTAAGGATCCTCATCGTAACAGTCTACTGCTTTCATGTGTAAAACAACAACATGTAGGGCGATTTAAATAACTTACCACAGCTCTCTTATACCGAGTTGTTGATGAGAACTCTCAATTCCGATTAGAAAACTATTTGGCATGGATATACTGGCTGCCAGAATATAAAATTCTTAGAAGGTGTTTGGATATTGAAGAGGCGCATTTTCGATCGTTGTACCACAGATACCTACTTTACTAAGCCTGGCGATTTCAACACTGTATGGGATATCGTGCCTTAAGTTGAGACATGGAGTGAATCAGTGAAGTATTAAAAACTAATTAAGATTCTGTTCAGCAACAGAATTTCTATCTCTCTATGGACCAATAAGAAATTTGTACATTTTTCCGCAAGAATGTAAGCTCTCACGTTCTCCTTCCGGCCCTCGCATCTCATGACGGCGATGATGGCCTTCAATTCCAATTAAGGAGCTGTAAGAGCTAGACTTCATCAACTTTCTTTGAAAGTTTTTTGTTTTTTCATCATGTTTTTTCTTCAGCTTTAATTTCATCAAATATATGTTTGCTGATACTTCTTTCGTCAGTCTTAACAGCCTACTCCAGAGAAGGCGATCTTATAAAATAATAGCTAGAATGGAGCGTGAAATATGAATGTTGGGAAAACTTTAAATTAAAATTAGAATGGGGATCATTCCAATTGAAATAAATTTAAATACCCAAGCGAACACATATCCGAAATACTTAATAATAATCCAAGTGAAAATGAGAAAATTGATTATTGCCTTCTTAGTGCTGCTTGATTTGTTACAATGAAGCTTTCAAAATTTTATTAACTTATTTTCTTGAATAAAAACTTAAAACCAATACAAAATATAAAATATTTTTTACGGTCAAATTTATAAAAAAAATGTATAAGAGTTTCGAAAAGTAAATACCTTTAATGTAAAGCCTATTACAGATGTATATATACTCGTATATAGCGATTTCCCAAAATTAAACAAGATCTTTCAATCTTCCACAGCAGATTACATCAAAGAATGTCAAATCGCTGATAAAAATTTTATAAATTGCTCAACACAAAGTATACAACAACTTTTTGATAAATTAAACGATGGTGAGTATTGGCGAGGAATGGAAAATTACCGCATGCAACACACTTCGCACACACACATATGTATACGAGTATATTTATTAGCAAACATTCAATTGCCAACTTAATCATTTGTGCAATAATTATTGACTGATTTATTTGGTTTTTCTATTACTTGGCAGGCATACCCGGTTTGAATAGCATCAAAAGCTTCGATCCATTCTATCTAAACCGGATACGTATTACGCAAGGCAACAGCAACGCGATCAACTTGAAAGTCGAGTTGGCAAATGTGAAAATCAATGGTTTCGGCCATACGAATGTATTGGAGAGTATGTAAGTGGGAAGAGAGAAGAATTTTGGTGATGAGGAAATAAAAAAAATTAAATGAAATAAGCAATAAAATAAAAAAAAAATAAATAGAAAAAGCAAAAACCAACGAAAATATATGTAGAATAATAAAGTAAAGTAAAATAAAATAAAAAAATAAAAAAAAAAAAAAAATAAATAAAATAAAATAAAATAAAATAAAATAAAATAAAATAAAATAAAATAAAATAAAATAAAATAAAATAAAATAAAATAAAATAAAATAAAATGATAAAAAATAAAAAACCATTAAATAAAATATTAAAAAATATTTAAAATTATATAAAATTAAATAAATAAATAAAAAAAATAATTATATTAATTTAAATTATATTGAATTAAAATACAATATATTAAATAAAGCACAAACAAATAAAATGGAATAAAATGAAATGAAATAGAAGAAAAAAAATAAAGAATAATAAAATAATATAATATAAAACTAAGAAAAGGAAACAAAGGAAAAATAAAAAAACATAAATCACTTAAAACAAAATAATATAAATTAAAGCAAATTAAATAAACTAAAACTAAATTAAATAGAACTAAAATAAAATACAAAGACATTCCTAAATAATTCAAAATAAAATAAAGTAAATTAAATATAAAAATAAATATTATATTATTTATATTTATAAATAAAAGCAATTAAATAATATTATTTATTTTATTTCTTTTCGAAAGCGTCTATCCGAAAGATTATAGCTGGAAGACCACATTCATGCTGCCTGAAATGAAATTACAGGGTGACTACAGTCTATTTGGTCGCATTTTGCTGATACCGTTAAATGGTCATGGTGAAGTATTCTTGGAAGCGGGTGAGTTCTAATAAATAATAAAAAAAAGTAAATATTTATTTTAATTTATTTCGGTTTTAGAAAATATGACCGTAATTATGCACTCGAAAACGCGGCTCTACGAAAAGGGTGGCTTTACTTTCTATAACGTTACAAATTGTCGCGTAGACTTCAAGATAGACGGTTTGAAATCGTATTTTTCAAATCTTTTCAATGGCAACAAGCAATTGGGTGAGTGTTGCTCATACACAAAAATTTATTTAATTTTTTTATTCTTTTATTAAAAAATTTTTTTTATTTATGTTTTGTTTTTGAGTAAACTGCATAGTTTGAAATTCTGAAAAGTTTGAGCTACATTTTATGTGTTGAAAAAATACTCAGTATTTTTAATAATAATAAATCTGAGACCAAAGTGATCAAGATTTTTATTCAATTTCAATATTAGTTCTTCGCTGGTTTTTCTCTTTAATTTATAATTGGCAATTTTTTTTTGTAAGGCAAAAGTTTTTTAATTTAAATTGTGCATTAATAAATTTCCAAACTTATTCATTGAAATTTTTGGTTTTTTCTCATTCTTTATTTTAGAACATCCCTGTTTAATATATTTTTTTTAATATTCCTTCCAGAGGACAGCACGAATAAATTCTTCAACGACAACTGGCGCATGTTGGCCGATGCACTGTACACCGTTATCACGCAAACCATAGAGGATATTTTGCTGGATGTGCTGAAGAAAATATTCCATTATATACCAGCGAACTTTTTCATTAACGATATACCAACCTCAAAGCAATTATATGGCGGTAGTAAAGGCGCGGGGGCAGAGGCAAGGAGGCCTAAGTGAAAAAGCAATAAAATACATAACCATGAAAAAATATTAATAATATTAAAAAATTGTAAATAAAAAATTAATAATGGTAATTTACTTTAAAAGCATAAAAATTTATAAATTATCCTTAAAAATGTGAGAGTATAACTTGTGTGTAATAAGTTTAAAGAATATATTTTTTTCAGTAGAACTCATTTTCGTTTCGAAGATATTCAATATTGCATATGTATGTATATCATTATTATTAACTAAGCGTCATTTGTAAATAAAACAGAAATAAAATAAAACTTTATTACCTTAGTTTTAATATTTTCTATTAATTTTATTTTATCATTATTATATTTATATTTATTTTTTAATAATATATCTGCAATTTAACTAGCCAAATTTACCCTAATAATGCCTACATTCCCAGGAATTTAACAGCAGCTTAATCTATTAATGCCTAAAAGTATGCTAAGTGGCTTATCATCAACTCATATGCCGGCAGCAGCAATTATCTACTCCGCTACAGTGCTGTGCAATAAAAATCAATTACACAGAAAATATGCACACCACTGACATATAAACATCTAAAATTCCACGCATACATGCATGCGATGCTACAAATAACAGTTATAATCCGTTGCGCATAACAATTTACAATTTTTGTCTCATCCGCCACAACCGACTGTGGGCCGCACACAATTAATTTGTATTTATCTCATGCATTTAACAATGTGATAATAATAAATTTTTACAACCAACTTGTTATAATAAAAATAAAATGCCTGTAGCATGTGTAGGTAGATGTAATAGCAACAACAACAACATCAAATTTGTATACAACAACATATGTATGAGGACATAGTAGTTTGTGGAACAAAATGAGAGCAGCCACACAACTACAGCCAATCACCACTTACACCTTTTCGGTGGAAATTGCCTACAAAACAAAACCAACGACAACAACACCTACACTTTAATGCTTAATAAATTTCTTTTTCTCTTTTATGCAACGTAAAAGGATGTCAGTAGTGGTTAACAACAACGATAAACAAATAAAAATAATTGCATTTAACCCTTTCGTGACCTGTTTCACCTGGATTTTGTTATTGTTTTTTTATGTTTTATCTGTGCTTTTAAATGTGCCCGACTTACCCGTCTATCGTTGCTATTCACAACTATTACAACAATTACGGGCAGAGAGCAACAAACAAATTTACAATTTACAGATAGAGATGTACCCTTAATGCACCGACCTGCCATACCCGGGTGTATGATATTGTACAAAACGATTAAGTAGACTGTCAATGATGCGAAAACCGCATACCACAAAAAGCGTTCTCCACTTCAGGTTTTTCAATATTTACAACGTGGTTTTCCCGACACTTAAGTGTGCGCTTTGCGAGAGGCGTATTTTATTAAAGGAGTTAAGGAGGGATTTGAATGAGCTACTGAGAGGGAGGTAATTGAGTTTTATTATAGTAAATTCATAATTTGCAGCTCAAGTCACGTCGTAAGCTAAATAAATACTTTCTAGAAGCATTTATCAAAATTATTGTTTTTTATTGATAGATAAATTATGGATTTGCTCTTTTTTGCTTGTCTCAAACATTTTTAGGTCCCACACAAAACATGGGTATTACCTTGAGCCCCTTTTTATGTTCTCAAATGGACCTTTTAAGTTGACGAAGTGGTGTGAGTCGATCTTTTTTTACCAGCCTATGATGGTTCTAACTGGACTCAGCACGCACTGTTGAGATCCGAACCGTTCATTGAAGGCGTACTTCAGTCTTTCTCAGAATACGCCAGACTGAACCTCGTAGGAGATAATGAAAAGACTGATACCACCTACATGTGGCGATATTCTTATAATTTGAAATGTTCTTATCCTACTATGTTCTGCGAAGTAGGCTACAGTCCGTGGATCATCGGCTCTAGCCTCTCAGGTATTTCCGAAGCGGACATTTGGTATTCGAACTGCCTCATAGTCGTGTGTTGGAAGAACTACTCCATCGTCATTGATTGGCAATGCGAGCTCACCATCCCAATAGAACATCGATCACTTATATGCTTACTTTGTCCGTAAGATAAATTCTTCTGTAAGACGCCGCAACTTTTCATACACTAATTCAGAATATATATTGGTACCTACCACCTCAAGTTCTTTGTACTCAAGCATTTCGTCTCTCTCCTGGTGATCCAATATATTATGTGATGAGCAGCATTATTTCTACCTGCTGAAACCCGATATTTTTCACACCAATTTTTTTTCTACAACCACCCCTAGAAAACTAAACGTCGAAAACCCAAAATTCTTTATATGCCGATGGAAATGCCATCCACAATCGAGTTATTGATGAGTGCTCTCAGAGAGAAAGAGTGCTAGTCAGCAAAAAAAACTGCTCCAATATCTGTTGCATACGTTTTCAGCTTCACAGAGGTGGGCTGGTACCCCGCCTGCGTTAATATAGAGGTACAAGTCGCCGATGAATCTTCGAGGCGTACTTGCACCTTATTTGAGCGGAGATCTTATAAAACAGACAACCAATTTACAATAGATCCCAGCAAAGATGATCAGCCGATTGGCAAGAAGATATTTTCCGAAGAGAGCCGAAAAAGCTGTTCAGAACTTTGAAAAATAAACAATTTGTGTGAATGTTTTTTGAGCAGACGCTTTTATAATCGGAGAAAGAGGCTAAAAAAATCGAATGACTAGTACAATTATATACAGTCAAAGAGCAAAATTCCAAGAGAAAAACTTAATTTAAAAAATTAAGGCACCTTAATCATAGGATTAGAAAGAGAGAGCTCTCTGAGGGGAGTAAGAAACTCATTAGTCTTCAATTCAAGTAAATTCTTCGTCATGAAGACTGATAATTCTGGCTAATAAAATTAAATGTAATGAGAGTAGCAAGTATTATTTGTAAAAATGTACGAAAACCAATTAACAAAGAAAAATTTTCAACGAAAATCTCTTCCAGCCAATGCTATTAACGCACTAAGTGCTCAACGGAAAGCCGATCCGAAAATTTGCATCTAATGCCCAATGCCACCCGTACCGAGTGGTCGTGACCAAAAACTGTAAAACACACCAATTTGCTGTTGCAGCAACAAATAAATTTAATTTCCACCGCTAATTTATCCCGACAAAAAGTAAATCTAGTTGTTGGAGCAACGCCAACACACGCACACCCACACATACACACATACACACTGGAGAAATGAATGATTAAAAGCGTCCACCATGTAACCTTCCCGTCCGCGCATCCTCACTTGCCGTCAACCGAACAGCCGCCCACGCAGCAAGCCGAAATAAGCGAAACCGAAACGCCTACAATTAATTTAGCGCGCAATCAAACCACTGCAACGCCGCGCCACGCCACGCCGCGCAGCAACACTAAAAGATTTTCCATGTTGGGCTGCCCAGGCAACAGCAGCAGCAGTCACCGCGCTTACACCGCCCGCAATCTATTGCTGCTGCTGCTGCTGCTGCTGCTTCTGCTTCGCTTTGCATTTTAGGGTTTAATGTGCTCAAATTGTTGCAATAACCGTTAGTCAGCTTTTAGGATTTTAGCGATGCAACTCTATGCTGCGACTGCATTTTTAAATACGATTAAATACCATTGCTATTGTTTTTGTTTCTATTTTAACATATACAAACACATATGTATATATACATACGAATATGTTACTGTTAGTGTGTGGGCCATTTTTATTTGGTCTCGCTGGTGCGGTGGATCAACCTTAATTGATCGTTTGGTATTTTGTTTGAGGATAACCAACCAGCGAGCGAGTGGCTCAGTGAACCCTGTTAAATGCGTTAAATTACGTTAGGCCCCAAAAAATATGCAACGTGACAGCACAACACATACACACATGCAAACAAGTACCAGCAAAAACGCAACAAAATTGTTTAACGGTAAAATACTTGAAATTACATTTAACCGCAACAAGCTGACACGCACACGCACATTCACACACCTATACACATACACATGCATCTACACACACATTTCGTTAGGCCGCAATGATAAATAAATACTCGACGCAGCCTCGCTCGTTTGTTGCAGTCGACATGAAAATCTATGGCAAACAGGATAATTGGCAAATTAAAATGTGTTGCCATTATTAATGAATGGTTGCACTTAGTTGCCTTGCTGTTTTTGCTTTTGTTATTGTGGATTTTGTTGTTTACTGCAAATTGCTGTTAAATTTTATGCCAGCAATTTGCCATTCGAATTTATCAAATTTCGGATTTCCTGATGAGGTGGTAAGGGATTTTCATATGAATTGTTTAAACTGCGCGCCGACTAGAAAAGGCGTGAGCTACTACCAAGAAAAATCTTACAGGACTGAGCCAGTTTGATTACTCGAAGAAAAAACATTAAAAATTTTTGCTTGAATTTGAATTTTTAATTGGGTGGCAACATCTGTCAACATTTTTTTATAGCTCAAACAACAAATAATGGAAATTATTATGCTTAAATAATTAACTAATTTCAGCTTAAATACGCTTTATAACATGCGTTATAAAATTCTGGCAACCCTGTAACAAATGTCTCAAGAAATGCTTTAGCGAAAAAAGAATGAACAACCTGCCTCAACTAATAAATAAAACATTTTATTTGCCTTAAATAATTAACAAAATTTTGTATCATCATAAATTATTAAATAACGACAACCCTATTAAAAAGCTTCTTAATTAGATCTTTTTTAAAAAATGTATTAAATTACATGCTCTCGAAATTAATAAATAAAACAATTTTCGCCTTCAATAATTAACTCAATTTCATTTCAATATTAATGATGAAAAAGTGGCAACTCTACTAAAATAAAATTTTCTTAAAAAGTGCTTTTACGACAACTTTTGATTGATACAAATGTTGTATCAATTGTCTACTATAACCCCCCTACAACAAAAGTATATCTCATCAAATGCTGAAAATGATTCCTTTTATTATTACTTAATTATAACCTTAAACTTAAATTGGAAGTAATGAAAAATTAATAATGAAATTAGTAACGGTTTCAGGTCTTTTGTTTCAAATAAATATTTATTATATCTATCTTGGTCCTTTTCCGATTAGT